TCTGTATATATCAATGCGGTTTTGTTCCCGACTTGTGTACATATTGAATAAATCCTGGGAGGATGATTTTGTTTATTCTTTTGTATGTAAACTGTCATTGTTTATTCTTCTTTGAGCATCCAAAAATTTCAAGGGGAAACAAGAGCTCAGTTAAATGTTGTTTTTGTTTGTCGTGAGGAGGGTAAAAGAGCTTGGAGGGTGGGAGTCCTACATCGATGGGAAGAAAGAACAAGGTTAAGTTCATGCAAGGCTAAGTTAAATGTTATTTTAGAGAGGTCGATTAGAAAGTACAAGATTAAAGAATTCGTTGCAGAACATGATCATGAACTTGAGAAAAACGAGTCATATGTTAAGATCCCATAGGCAAGTGAGCTGGGGCGCCACCGCTGCAATTGATTTGGCACATGATGTCGGACTCACCCCAACATTTGGTAATTTGGTTTTAAAAGCAATGTTTGGTAATTTGGTGAAATGAATGTTGGACTCACCCCGACATTTGATAATTTGGTTTAAAAAAAGAAAAAAAAAAAACCCTAAACAATGCATTTCGTAATTTAGTTTTAAAGGCAATGTTCATGTTAGATCTTAGATGATGGTGGGTGGTGACTTAAACTTACTAGATCTTAGATATTGGTGGGTGGTGACTTAAACTTAATGGATCAGTATGTATGTTTGTTATAATGAAATCAATACTCTTTGGTAATTTGGTTTAAGTGAATACTTGAATTAGTATTTCTGTTTTAATCGAAGTTATGGAACCATATGTTGGTTGTTTGTTTTAAATTTTAATTGAATCAATACTCTTTGGTTTAGTTTATATGTTTGTCTCGTTTTGTCCCAGTCCAAAATGATACTGGTCCATTTGGGACGGTGTCTCGTCCCGGACCGTTCCCAATCGATTCATACCTTCTTAACTAACCATCATTTCAAACCATCTCCCTCTTACTTTTAAATCAAATCAACTTTAATTATTTTATTTTAAATTCAAAATTCCACTAACAATTAACCATACCACATTTTTTAAAATTAACCTTAGCTAACAAAAAACCCATTTTGAGCGAATGTATTTGTATTCAAAAAGCGCGCCCTTAGCTTTTGCCTGTGATCATTTAAAGAAAAAATGAATCTATTCGCAAATGAATCTGTAGTTTCCAAATAACAATGCAGATGTGCAGATGAATCTGTAAGTTGACATCTATTCGCAAATGAATCTGTAGTTTCCAAATAACAAAAAAATCTAACCTACATTTGCAATTATTATTACAAAAAAAAATAAAAAATCTAGACAACCATTGCTGTGAATACAAGTATAAAAAGAGAAAAATCCCCCCTGAAGAAAAGAGCCTGTTCCCTTAAGTAAGCTATACAAAAATTGATTTTCTGTCAGTTCAAAAATTTTCGGCAGCTGGGAGCATTACAAAAGCAAGGGACTTTAACCTCCTCACGCTCATCCGCCTCAAACTTATAATCATAGCTGTTACAGACAATGAGGGGCAAAAGATATATTACTATCAACAATAATAAAAGAAAACTACATAATCTATTGGAGGGTGGAGGGAAAAGTAAGCATACGTTAGCTCATCACCAGCCGAGACGCTGGTCTTAGCTATAAGAACTATACGACTCTCTTCTTTGCCCGTGCTCATGATCCTCGCGTAACAGTTGGGCATGCACTGCAATACGCACAACTTGTATATAAATTATCACACAAGTCGGTAAAAGGAAATAGATAAATTCAGAAGAAACATCAATGAAATGGAGTCTAAAAATGAAAAACAGTCATTCATTCAAAATTACAAATATCCATTTCATATTTTATCCCAATGGCTAGCTATTTGTTAAAATGTGGTGGTCTTCAGAATATTGAACTTAAAATATGGAACCTCATTTGTGATCAAAGGAAATATGGCTGGGGTAATTTCATATATCCCCAGACAGAGGAAAAAAGAACGATCACATGGCAATCACATGGTTACATTATTTCAAAATAAATCAAGCTTGCTGCAATAATTCGCCACATGCTTACATTATTTCAAAATATACTGCTTACCACATGAATACAAGATGAATAAAATTATAACTATTAAAAATGGAAAAAATATCAAAGAAAGAAGAGCATACCGAATGATTAATCAAGCGAGCAATGTTCCCCTTATTTGTGGCATCAATTACTATTTCCTCACTGACCTTGAAAAGCTGCATCGTTCATTGCAACAAACAATTAGAGAGGCAGTGCAGTGCATATTTATCGCATGAGGGAAATTGATGTGAAGGACAAGAAACATGATACAGCAATGTCTTCATAGAGAAACACAGACGTAGACTAGCGCACACAACATGAATATACCACAGTATTTCACATGAAATGAACCCGAAAATTCAAAAACGAGAATGAGCATACAAAATTTATTTTCATGCTTAGGGATGACTACACAGACTATTTATGAGGCTTGAAGTTTGACCTAATCAGAGAACAACTCAGCTTTCTTTCAAATATACAAATGATAATCGCCACCCCCACCAACCAAAAAAAAAGTATTGACGACAACCCATTAAGGTTTGCGTTTCCTTGGAAAAGATATTATAGCACTGAGAGTTACAATATGTAAAATGGAAACAAATTTCAAGAGATCATTTGTAAATCTGAAAGATGGCAATGTTTTCTATTATTTATTGGAGTATGCGGCCAAGGGTATTATCTAAATTAGAACAAACACTTTTCAAATCAGTTTTCTCAAATAACCTGGCACAAACAAGAGCATGCACATGACAGTATTATCTGAAGGACCATGAAGATTTGACTCACGTAGCAATCTTTGCCTTCCAACCCATACCGTTTCTCCCTTAGGTCAGCAATGCTACGCCTCACCTGCTCACCACAATATTCGATAACCTGGACGAGTGCCAGAATTCAAGATTGTATGGATTTAAGCATACTGATTAAAGATGTGAGAGGAAGCGAGACCATATCATAAACTAGACATCTTCGATTAGTTTTTGAAAAGTTAAATAGGATTAGGGATTTGATTTATATTACCATTTCTCCTTCTTGGATGCTTCGCCTTGCAAAGAGGCCCCACCCATGTATTCCTGATTTACCAAAGCAAACCCGATATTTCTCTGTTTTCTGAAGCATCAACCAAGTAATTTGTCATATAAATAAAAACATGACCGAAAAAATACAATATCCCGTTGTGGACGGATTAGGAAAGAACAAACTGAAATAAATTAGAAAAGGCAAACTAAAAAGAAAAATTGCAGAAAATATTATCTAACCTTCAAATGTTCTAAGCGTTCACTGAATGTAGAAGATGCCATCTCTTCCATATCCTTGAAAAGTAACAACAGTGGAGACAATCAAACAACTGTATCGATAAGAAATAAATTGTCACAAAACAAGGATAATGTATTTTTACAAACACAAAATACTAATTACCTTATGATGATAACTCAAAGAATCTATGACATCAAGAGCATGATGACGAGGCCCCATCAAGCGGTGGAAAACTGATTCTGTTCCACTCCCCTGTTAAACAAAACAGGCAGGTGAGAGACCAAAAAGTAAAATATGAAAGAGAAACAGATAAGAGCAAAAGCATTTGTCAAAATTATGGCAATGATCCACATAATAGCTCATGATCAGGTAACCTTAACATTTGGTCGTTTGTAAACACGGCACCTTGCTGCAGATATCTCTTCGAATTCATTAGAATCAGCAGGAGAAGAATCCAAGCACTTGACAGTATTTGTTGAGATTAACCTTGAACCTCTCGAGCGTTGTTCTTGATACTGGCCTTGGAGCAAACTTCTGTTAGAAAAAACCCCATCCGGGGTCAGAATCACTAGTACATTTTCCGCACTAGGTGTCCTGAGACAGAAGGTAGTGAGTGTTGAGAAGTTGGGATACAAAAGCAAATGGATAAAGAAGAATGGCCAAGGCAAATATGTATGGATGGTTCACTGTAATTTTTTAGGTCTTCATGCAAAATGAACTATTAATTACACCTTTAATCGCTAAAAAGTGTTCAAATAAGAATCAGAGGGTTCACAACATTGACCAACTCTGTTTGTAGTTGCAGATACCCTGTACTGGAGGTTTAATAGTATCATGATTCTATCATTTTTCATCTGATATCTAGACCTAATTGACCTCACAATGTTATATATACGTACTACAGACATAAGCACATGTTAACCCAAGTATATGGTGTACGTCATTAAGTGTACATACAGCAATCCACAAACAAGCAAAACTACAAGTACATAAAATCTCCATTGAGAGAGGTATCTATTTAAGCCAAATACACTCTGATTAGCATGGCAGATGTAAATGTCAAGACTGGACCAAAAGAGTATGGCTACATAATCATACCTGTGGAAAGCACAATATGATATCCATTTAGTTATTTGCGCCCCATTCTTTTCAATGCAATGCAACTGAAATCAAGGAACAAAGTTAATAAAATAGTAGAGAAAATAGGAATGCATATTAGGGTGAAACTCAAAGAGCAATTCTTTAAGAGAAAATACTTCAAAAGGAATCTAATAGGACTTAAAATAAAATGAATAAGTGCAGATATAACATGATACAGAGGATATCAATGCTAGTAAAATAACAAATAAAACGTACAAATGTATTAACTTACTTCCATGCAATATCCAGCACGAGAAGCACATGTTGCATGAAAATAGGTGGCACACTTGAAACACTGCATGCAAGAACCGTGAATCTGCTTGCAAATAACACATCCCTGCATAATTACATTTAGAACATATTAAAGCAAGTAAATTTCCATCATATAACATAATAACAAAATCATACAATGACTGGATGAAGTAGAAACCAAACACTTCAGTTTATACAAATCAAAATTGCCAAACCAGTTGCAACCGACCACTCAATGAAGTCTAATTATTAAAACTTCTTTTATAAGTTAATATATCATGAATACTACACCATGACACTAGCCATCTATTCAGTTTTACAAATGTTTTCTGGAGGAGACCTTGAATCAACAACCAGTTGCTAGTACGTTAATCCTCTGAATTATTCTACCTTAGCAAACGAATTTGGTGGAATTTTAAGAAGCCCAACAGCAGGCTCCATTTTCTCCGCATTTAAGAAAGCAACTTCTGGGCGAAACCATGCGCAGGTAACATGAATCCATAAATCATCAACATCAGTTGGCTTCAGTGCACCCCCTGGCATAGCAGTTTTCAATTATAAAAATTCAATGACCTTTAAACTGCATAATTTTAAGAAATCAAGCTATATAAAAATACATGCCTTTTACAGGACAGAGGCAACATTCCCTCTCGAACTCTGGGGTTTCACATGCACGGCACACCCACAAAGCAAAATCTTGAGTATTCCTCACTCCATAACATTCTTGATGTACTGCTATCTGACACCTATAATGTAGAGAATTTCGTAGTAACAAAAAAAAAAGGCATTTACAGGTGTCTATGAACCACATGACTACAACTACAAATGCCTATACCTGTTGCATATTACTATTTTGTTGTAGTCCCAGTCTTCAACCCATCTACAAATAGCACATCTTTCAGTGGTCCACTTTGCATGAATAGGATGGTAATTTTCTGCAAAGTGAAACCAGTCAGTAGTTGGACCCTAAATGTTCTATGCATAACAATTGCATTAATAAGAACAAACAAATATTTTGCACCAAACCACACCCGTCTACAACCTTTCAGAAAAGAAAACAACTGCTGTTTATCCAACCGAGTGGAACTGAAGCCATGTAAATTGTACAGCGCCATCTGTATTAAACTGCTGTTATTAGATAAAATCAAGAAAACATTCTGTAGAAAGCCATATACTTTGAGATTGAATTACAAGCCGATTATAGTTTCTTTATAGAGAATACGCATTCTACATGAAGCAACAAAAGGTCGATTACCACATATTCACATGAGATGTAAAAGCATACTCATCAACAGGGTTTGTTAAGATAAAATATTTCTAATAAGACATAATAAAATACAAACATGTTCGGGAACGAACCCATTTTTCAAGTGTTAAATTAGAGCCCTTCACTTTAACACTGTACTTCCATTTCTTCGCTCTGCATCCTGTATGCCGTTCCCACTCATTGAGCCCACACTTCTTCGTTCCACATGAACCACATGTACACTGAACCCTGAGATGAGTAACAAATATGTACTATAAATGATTTCTCCCTTTAGAATAAAGAGTCAACATCATATTTTATCTAGGCAATATTAACAGAAAACACGAAATGATGAAAATGCATCTCAACTATCAGTCATCTAAAACTTGTTGACTGCTACTTTATTTTCCTTATAGAGATCCTAGAAACCCAACCAGGAAGCTGATACATGTTAGATCGAAATAAATCAAGTAGAACTACGATATTGTTCATAGATGAATTGGTTTAAAAAAAAAAAAAAAAACAGAGAGAGAGAGAGAGAGATGAACTGCCAATATAATTAGTTTGGCAGCAATCATGCTACGCATAACCACATAAACTACTGTAACTGTTTATTCAACAGTGAATACTGCATTTATCATAAGGTGTAAAGAACATTATGTAAATAGTAACGGAGTGCATTTCAATTAATAATTATGCCAAAGACAGTTATAACTAGCTCCCTTTTTAAAAATAAAATCAATAAAATTAAGAAAAGAAAAATAATTAACAAGTTTGAACTTACAAATGAAGACTCGGATAATAAATCCCTTCCACGCCATTGCAGATAACTGTTACCTTGTCTGGTGGTTTTTTGCTTTCAAGCCGCTCTGCAGGACTGTAGACATCATTATAGATGCAAATCAACATTAGAATACCCAACTGCCGTTTTTCATCAATCATCAAACATACATTTACACTTCCCAGTTCATTTCTCATCTAATACCATCAATTTCCTCCACCACAATCAGCCCCCATCACTAAACTGGAAAACATGATTAACCATCCTAAGTCAAACACAAGGAAGGAGGGCAAGCACCTAAGATATAGTTGCTGATTATCCAAAGCCAATAGTTCCGATGATGGTTTAGCTCTGCACTCAGGGCAGAAGTAGTCCATACTTTTCAGATCCTACAAGCCACATTATATGTCAAATGCTACATACCATAATTTCAGGCCAATAAAAGAGTAATAGCATGAAATCCATATTAATATATTAGATCTGTCAGCAAACCTTCAAAAGCTTAGATGAAATGTTGGCACACTCAGTATGAATCCAAACATCACAACCATCGCAACATACCTGACCACAATATTTTAG